TTCAGCTGGTTCCTGAACTGTTGTTTGACACCGATCTCATCTCAGCATTTAATCTGCAATTTTCAAGTGAGTATTCACTGAGTTCTTATCACATATAGCCACTACCTGCTTCTTATTACAACACTGCATAGAAAGAACAAGTCCCCACACAGTAAACCTCACCTTACTCTCCAGTACTCCATTTTTGGGCTGACTACACTGCACACTACTAACATATCCACAATGACTAGACCCAACAGTGTACCAGAAATCTGGGGAAAAGCCAACTACTAAAGACAGATCTTCAAAGATCTGGCTAAGTATCCATATTTAAGGGCCATTGTTCTTTTTCAAAGACTGACAAAAAATGAGACTATGTCAGATGCCTGACAGTTGTGGTATAAGACAATCTAATACTGCCCTTGGTGATACATTTGTTCCCTTGATAGCTGTATGTGGCAGAGAAAAGTATTTACTAATTCTGCCTTCTGCACCCAAAACTAATTTGGGTTCCTCTGCCAGAAATGTAACCAGCTGGGGAGGAATTCCTGAATAACAAGGGAGAACCAGGAGCAGGGATTCGCTAGTTGCCATAATTTTATTTTCTCTAAGTTAAATGGAAATAGTTTTTCTTTTATTTCTCAATTTTTTTTCAATTTTCTAATGCATTAATTTAAGGTGTGGTGCATTAGACATTCACCTAAAACCCCCTGAAAGAGAGATGGATTAATCAACACACAAGTAGTCTCAAAGCTAAGCAGGATATCTAAAGACAGGATGTCCCTTGGGTTACAATGTAGGCTTCCAGTTCTGTCAGCTTTTGAGTATTCTTGTTTCTTTTTTCCTAAAGCTTTCCCAGTTTGTCATTAGCCTCACTGTACTGTGAATACAACCAAATATAATGTTCTTGAAATGAAATTGCAAATGCCAGCTGTAGGATACATTCTTCCGCTTACATGAAGACCACGTTAGTCCTGTTTGCCAAGGAATTATCCTGGGAGTTAATATCCAGCTTATCCATCAGCCAGAATCTCACTTAGTTGTAGTCAGAGTGACTGTTTCTGGGACAATATCTCCCCTAGTACCTTTGGTTTCTATTCTTTCTTCCAAGATAAAGTTGCCTGTTTCCAACTATTTGAGACCTGCCTGTATCATTTCTGTTCCTTACTCAGCATTTTCCCAGTACTTGAGCTATCTGCAAACTTTATCTGTGATAATTTTTTTCTTTCAGAATATATGAAAAAACATAAACAGAATGGAGCAGGAATTAATCCCTGCAGGAGCCCAATGCAAGCATCTTTGTGTGCTAAGGCCTTCTCACCTACATTTATAATTTGAAACACAGTATTCAAGCACAATAATTTTGTACCTTTTACCTTTCTTATCAAAATGTCATTGGGAATTAAGCAACACTAATTTCTCAAATCTATCAATCAAAATTTTAATCCTATTAAAAACAAAAATTATTTTGAGAAGATTTCCAGGCTGCCAATCCATGTTGACTACATTAATTGCATTATTTCCCCTGTTTATTTCTTAACTGATGCACTTTAACAAATTCATCTGTTATTGAATTCAGACATTAAGTAACCTAGATTTCTAAACACTGAGAAATGGTACCTAAATATAATTTTAAAATATTTTAAGTCCTTTGACACTTTCCTGGTAGCCTAAAACACTGTTTATTCTTGGAAAAGCCTCAGCAGCCTCATCTTTTTTAAATCTTGGCTTTATATAATGAATTCATAAAAAAGAATTCAGTACTTACTTGCCCTCAACATCCTACAAATTAACAATGAAAATAAAAGTACTTCTAATTGTGAGATTATATGGTTTCATTAACTTAATTTTTCACCAATTAGGAAAAATATAATTTTTATCTCCTGTGCCACTTTTCTGTCATTGGTAACTGTACCATCTCACCTAGTAATAAACTAATAGAATTCTTCAGGATTCTTTTTGTTATATAAGTGGAAAACTTTCTTACAGTTCTAAATGTGCCAGCGACTGATTTTTCCTTTTCTGATTTTTGCCTCTGTCTTCCATTTTCTATAATTTTAAACATATATTTTTGTCTGGATTTATATCTGCTTCTTTAATAACTATGGCTACTTTCATGTTTTTCTCTATACCATGTAAGGGGTTTTTTTAAGATAAAATCTTTCTAAGCTGTACTGGGGGCTCTCATAAAATTTTCTTAAATCCCTCAGTTCCCTTCTTCAATAGCCAACTAGTGGTTATTTTTACACATGACAAATATACATAAGTGCATGTCACAGTGTATATGTTTCTATTTATTTAACATGCACATCTAAATACCGTAGTAAAATTTTATTCCTTTCTCATACAATAAATAAATGCATCTATCTCAATCACATCAACTTTTAAAAACCCACTGATGAGGAGATGTCATCATTCCCTTTTTAATTTTTAGAGTAAGGTCTAACATAATATTTCTTTATTGCAGGTACAATAAATTTTTGGCTTGGAAATGATAATTTCAAGGGGTTTTTTAATATCCAGGTATTTTACTTTTATATTATCGTATTTTCAACACATTGCTCACACTGAAGTCTTCCAGGATAACACAATGTACTTTCCTTTATCAAAAATACTCTTTAGGGACTGTATTTTTGTCCTTTTGTGGCTATCACAGTAGGAGAGAACTAAATTCTATGTCATGTTTTCCTGTTTTAAGACCCTGATCAGCAAACACCTAAGAGCACTAGCTTCAAATTGTCTGTCATGTGAAGACTCCTTTTCCTTTGACATACAACACTAATCCTTGGAGGATTTTGCTTCACTGGTCCTTCCTTTGTTTTAATAAATAAACTTTAACTCTCTCCACCATGCTTATTTCCATCTTGTGTGTAGAATGAGATGGAAACACCTGAAGTCTGTTGCTTCTTCTCACCACAGAAGGTGAGACAGTGTTGCCCAGAGGTGTTTACCACTCCTGCTTGTTCAGTATATGTGCTCATCACCTTCTATCTCCTGCTATGTACGATGGTACCCCCTTCCCCTGCCTGGGGTGATTAATAGATAACTAATTTCTCCCTGAGTTTCACTTTCTTTGGTTGCTCAGTAGCCAGATCTCTTCTTCATGGTTCTGGAGAACTGCTGTCAGTCACAGTATGCTCGTCAAGAAATGTTCACTTTCACTGATATGCCACATTACCTCACTTAGCCTTTCATTTACATTTCCTGCTCTTTATCTGCTAGACCCATACTGCTGTATGTGAACTAAGGTGGCAGCCAAAAAGGGACAGATTCGTATCTTGCTCCCTTCTAATTTGCCACAGTTTCCATACTTTCCACCTTTTGCTCTTTGTGAAGCTCTCTTTCGATGACAATTTTCATCGGCCCAATTCAAAGCAGGCCAGACATCTTCCTTACATATCTTGCTTACTATTCACAACAATCTTTCCTTGTAACTAAGATGTCATATAGCTTGGCTCTGATTACACTCGCATAGCTGTAAATATATTTTCTTAAATGGAGTTGTTCCTGACATGAGTGGTAAGCCCTGTAATTTCATAGCATAGCAACTCACTTTAGCTAAAATAGGGGTTTATTATTATTTTGTAAAAGGAAGATGCTTTCATTCTGACCTAGATAAGAATCTCTTTCTCCTCCCTCCTTAAGATAACTATGAAAATGAGACTGTAAATCTCCTATGGAGAAGAGACTTGGACAAATCAATAATTTATGTTGTGATTTTGAGAGACTTTCACCTTGAGGAAGTGCCAGCCCTATCGTAATTCTGTAGATCTTGTTTGAAAATGTTTTCCATTACTAATCGAGAGAACCTTTTTCTTTTTTCTTATTATTTATACAAGGCTCCTTTGATTTTCAGTGTATGACACTTCAGAATGAAAATGGTGTCTGCATTAATTAAAAAAGAAGATGAGAACTCTTACTTTCCTTCCCCCTTCACTTAAAATCCAAGTAAAATGCTGGCAGGCAACACTCAGCATGTAGTGCTCTACTTCCAGCCATGAACCCCTTTTATAGATTTCTGTCATTTTAGCTGCTTCTGGCTAAAATCACTGGTTCTAACAGTGACTTGGAAAGAAAAATGAGCAGTTAAGAGCAAAATGGGGGGTAGGGACACGTGGCAATTAAATAAGCCTTCTGCAAATCTCAGGCAGAGAGCATGTCAGTCATACAGTTCCTAAAGCAGACCCTGGCAGTGCCAGGTTCATATTGAGGGCCTTGGGGGAAAAAAAACATACACATTTATGCCCATGCACCTTTCATTTGACCTCCACATCTTACTCAAGTGCAGACTGCCTTGTCAACAGCTCACTTCCCCAGATCTCCCCCATTGTTTCAAGAAATCTTCATTATGACTTGTAGCAGTATGCTCTAAAGCTGGCTTGCTTTATCCACAGGATCTCTCAGAGGTTGGATAATTAATGGTCACCCATTCTCACCCACTGCACCCTAAAGTCAAAACCACTCACTCAAAGTGAGGTAGCGTGGCTGGGTCTGCCCACGCAAAGGACAGACACCAGAGCTCCTGCAATGGCACAACAAACAGCAGGGCTGGGGCCAGTCTCTCTGTATAAAGTTCCACATTTCCACTTCGACCACTGCAGGCAGCTGTGACATTTCTGAACCACACTTAGAGAGAGCAGACGACCTTCAGGTCTTCTGGAAGTTGTAGAACTTGTGTCTGACTGCTGTATGCCAAGTAAATTGATTCCCTTTATTCTTTATAGCAAACCAAATCTGAGATGTGACAAAGGGCTAAGAAATCTGGCAGAATAGGAATTATAGGAAAAAAAAGAAATTAAAAAAATCTTTGGTCAAGGATTTTCACCTGTTAGCACCAACTTTCACCTCCAGTGGTTTTAAACTTTGTTTAAATTGAAGCACCACCCTGCAAAATTTTTACAGATTTCTGGAACAAAATTACTTTCTTTGTGCAAACATTTGACTATCATTCCAAACATTCTTTCACACAATTCAAGTTTTTCAAGCTTTTCAAGTTTTGATAAAGTTTTTATGTTGTGGTCTTATATTACTAACATAACAGGACATCAGATCAAGCAGGGCACAAATCTAAAACAAACTCCAGAAATACAACTTTGCATCAAAACAGAAAGCATGGTTTTATTCGATTTTTTTTCACACACAATTATAAACAATGTAGGTAATGAATGAATTGATAGGCTGGCAAAGAAGTTCATGGTCACTGGACAATTTAAGATTATTCAACCCTTAACTCAAGGTGAAAAATAGTAACTGTTGGGTTATAAATAACATCAAAATGTGATCAAAATTCCCAGTACACATCAAGAATTACACTGGGAAAGTAAACACTACAACCTCTAAAGATTCAGATGTATAGACTGGGAACTATATAGCTCCAAGTCCCTCTTAACTCCTACTCTCATTTATTCCCCCCCATTTCTATATTAGATTTTTTTCCTTATCTCCCCTGCCCCTACAAAGCAGCTCAGATATCCACATATTTACACAGCATTCATGGCAGCAACTCTGTGACTAAGACAAACTGATGAATATGTAACAGAATCTTTAAAAATGCACGTGAAATATGCAAAGGCATCAACTTAATGAGTACTTTAATTTTGTACCTTTTTTTTGCATCGAAGGTCAGTTTATCAAACAAAGAGCATCGGAATTAATTACTTGTATTCTGAAACCTAGAGAATTCATCTGGCTAAACAAGGAGAATTATTTGAAATTAAGCAAAGGACTGGAATTTCTCTACCATAGGGTGGCACAGGACGCACTTTTTAAATATCAGGGCATCCAGGACATTTTTGTATGTCATCTGAGGTCTTAAAAATGTGACATAAGAAGTGAGCTTCCATCTTAGCAGTCAGCAACCAGAAGCTTTTTAAGAATTTTCACTGCCTGTAGAAAATTTTTGCAACAATTATTCATTTTGATTTCTGTAACTGAAATGTGAATATTTTGCAAAATGTAAAACCAAAAAAATTGTTATTTCACCTACTTGCCCTTTAAGGGTGACAGAAATGGGCTTTTATTTCTGCAGTGGTGCATGATGAGTGTCCATATACAAAACTAGGGGTACAGTAGAAATACTCATTCAGGTAACCTCACAGACTGGTGTCTTTGGGTATTGTCTATGAAGTGCAACTTTAAAAAGAAAGAAAACCATGAAGGAACTATATATAATTCCAGACAGTCTGGTAAGATGAACAATAGCATGTAAGTTGAGTAGTTATCTCAAAACTTCAGCATTTACAAACACTAGGTTTCAGAAACAATACTTAGTGTAAAATCTGACATAATTTGCATCTGCATGAAAGTTTTCAAATAATTTTGAATTGACACATTCCTAAAAATTCCCAGCCATGTTTGTTTGGAACCAATTAAACAAAACTTGTTTAAAAAATAATCTGTTGATGCATTTTCTTCTTCTCTTCCAACTAATAATTCAACTCCATAAGTTTCATCACAGTTTTTATAATGTATGCCTTTTTTTCACCTGGGTCATTTCTTACCCATGTGAAAGTTATATCTCACTTTTTGCCTGCAACAGTTTGAAAACTTTAGAGAAATCATTAATATTAAGAAGAATGCCAAAGACGATAGTTTTCTCATCTTGTCTTTGTTTCTCTTTTCCTCTGGGCCACATAAGGATGTTCAAGTCAGCAGAGACAGTGTTGCTCTTTAAAAAACCTGCTGATTTAATATTTAGTAGGTGATGGATTCCACCTCAACAATCAGACTCAGGAATAAAAATAGTCTGAATCCCACTCAGTGCCATCCACAAATCCATAGATAGAAACCCAAAGAATTGTACAGCACAACATTTCCTGCTCAGTAAGCTAGAGACAAGCTGCTGTGATTCCCTATATATACACATATATTCTGAGCTGATGCCTGTCAAACCAGCCCCTGGTTAAGTGGCAAGCATAATATAGCTTCCTTTCCCTAGAGGTAACTGTCCTCATTACTGAAGCGAATGAACCCCTAGGTGTATTATAGAATCTTCTTTAAAATATTCATCATATGACAACTGATATTTCAGCCATATTTGGCTGGAATGCCACATTTTGGGGAATTTAGGACTCCATAATCAATTAACCTAGCATTTTGCTTGCCATCTAATTATTTTATTTTTTTTATCATGAATCATTAAACATTTATGTCACTATGTAAGTTGTTATTCTCTTACTCAGGACTGAGCAGGATGAGCAGACCAGGGTTTCCTCTTACAGCAATATCCATTATAACACCTGGACTAGCAAGGCTGAAACTTAACACTTTCCCTCGGCTGAAAAACACCAACTTCTCAAGGTGAGTCACATTATCCAACATGGTTCTTTTTCCTTCACACTGCTCAGAATCAACACTTCAGGCTGTTAAAATCTCCCTCTGCCAGCAGTTCTCAGGAAGACCATGGACAGGCGAGGGAAATAACACCGGGGCCAGAATATTCCACCAGAGATCAGAACAAAGAAGCTGTGTAGTGAGAGAAAGAGACAAATACAGCAGCAGGTTATTCAGCCCAAACATTTCCATTCTCAAACACAAAAAAATACTTTTCCTTTTGCCTCTATATTCTTACTTCTTTCTTTAAAGAAATACTGTATTTTTCCCTGCCTAGTCTTCCCATTTTTTTCCTACCTTTTCTTAATTACAGCCATAAACTTCCACAGGTTCTCTTCCACCTGCCCTTCCACTCTATCACCTCCCAGCATGAGTACCTGCTGCCTCTTCAATTTAACCTTCCACAGCCCTTCCCCATCCTGTTCCATGCACAGCACCTAAGGCAGGTACACAAATGAGCCCCACCAGTGCAGAGGGAGAGTGTCAGCATCATGCACAGGAAGTTTACACTGCTCTTGCTCAAACCCTGCAAGCCTTCCTGACACCAGCACAGCATTCCAGCACACCAGCATCATTTCTAAGTGATCTCTCATGTGATTAGGGCTGTCTCTCTGTTCCCACATGATACTCAGACATTGGTGGCAAAAAAATCATTCTTACTCTCATCAGGACTTGTTTGTCATCAGAACCCCTCTTTAATTTTAGTCATTTGCTTAGTTTTAGACTACGGATCTCATTATGATGGTCTAATTAAAATCATTTGCTGACAAATATTGTCAGTAATGTAACAGTTGGCTAAATTAACACTGGCTTAGCCTTAGCTTTTTTATCAGCTTAACTATGCAGCACTGATTGATGAGCATTTTAAAGCAGGAATTCCTCTCTTCAGGTCAAAGGCAGAGAATGAAAAGCTGGAGATTTGAATGTGATACATCGACAAGTCTTACCAAAGAAAGTCAGACGTAATTGTGCCCAAGTCAAACCAAACTCACTCTCCACGACTTCCCTGTAAGCTCAGTCATAATAACAAAGATGCATTTGGCCCAACCTGTTAAAACAGCAGGAATAGAACAATATCTTGCTCTAAATTTACTGTTATAAGCAGTATATCTTGTTGTCTGACTCTTATTTACTTTTTTTGGCATATATTGAGTATTTCTAGACCACAATTATTCCCACAGATGAAACTTAATTGCAATATTCATCACTGTATATGTCTAAATGATAGGGATGCTGGAGTGTTTTACAGTGAAAACACATCCAATTTTAATGAAGTTCAAAAGAAGAAATGTTTATTTATGGATTAAAAGTACACAAAGATCTGCTGCTCACACTTTCTGAAATACTGACAGCTTTTTTTTTTTAAGAGGGAAGGAGAGAGAGAGTGCAAGGGAAGGAAAGACTTCACATCTTGTACATAGTTGTGGTGAGTGGATCAGTGTTCCCAGCAGACAGGCAGAGAGTTACTGGGTCTTTTGACACAAGTTGAGATCAGATGATATACAGCTGAAGTCTGAAGACAAAGTTGCTTCTAAGAGGTTGCCTCTGGTGAAAGGGTGGAGATGTTGTGCTGATAGCCTATTACAGCTGCAGGGGGATGTCTTGACATGTCTTGAGAAAGACTGCATATTTCTCTGTTTGGGGCTCAGGTTTGCTACTGTTCAAATTAAGTGACATCTTTTTAACACTCCTAAAATGATTTTAAAGAAAAAAAGGTGGAATCCAAGCTAGAACAGTATCCTGAATAAATTTATTTTTTATTTAATAAGTTCTTAGGAGGAAAAAAAAGCATAAATAAATACTTAAAATTAGTCCCTCTACTGAAGACCTAAATTGAAAACAACTTTAAGGAAGATGTGAAGGCTTCAGAGTGACATGTAAATATAACTATGACTTTCTATAACTTTCATAGATGTATGAAAAAAAAAATTAAATACAGAGAAAAATTCCATTATTGGATAAAATTTCCAGAACTCTCTTCCTTACTTGAATTTGCAGCCACTGCCTCTAGAATGAGAGTTGCTGCTGGTAGTCTTTAGAATGATTCATTCGCTGATGGTCCATAGAAATATTACTAGGGGGAATACCAACCTCCCTGACATACAGATTCAGCCTGCTTGGAGTCAGATGTTGAGAAAGAAACTAGAAAACTGTGGCTGTGCATAGCCTTGACAGGACTTCACTGGAACAACAAGAACCCAGGTTTGCACAGGCTCTAGAAAGTTAACTGTTGCAAGAAATCCTGACTGCTTTAAAATAAAAATTAAAAAAAAAAAAAAAAAAAAAGGTTTTCATGGATTTCTCTCTTCAGACCTTCAAACTGGTTCTTCAGGTAATTCCGTTTTGGGATCAGTGTAAAAAGGAAAATGAAAATGGGAAAAGGAAAATATGACAGACAGGTAATCCTTACTGCTCTGAAAACCATTGCTAACACTGACATGCTGTCAAACCATCCAAAGACAAGAAAAGATACAATCTGCTCCCATTATTACAGTCCAAATCTTTATGGATTCAACAACAGAAAAACAGCAAGTCCAGAGTTCGGCCTCAGCTTACATTTCACGAACAGAGAAAGAAAAAAAAAAAAGACAAATAATTTTTGCTAAGCCAGCTAACAGCATGCTGCTCCAACACTCTGCCTCAGGCCACGCAGCCTCAGCTGCACCATCTGCCCTGGAAAGACTCCAGGGAGGAAGGAGCAGCTGAGAGTGCAACAAGTCGAGGATCCAGTATAACCATCACTGTTCTGTGCTGTGAGTTCACCTGAAACCTCACCTCCCTGGATCCTGTTCTCAGACACCTACTTTGTTAAATTGTTATTTTTTTAATTGTTATTTTATTATTTAGCTGTCTTAATTACTGTGAGTTCACGTGAAACCTCACCTCCCTGGATCCTGTTCTCAGACACCTACTTTGTTAAATTGTTATTTTTTTAATTGTTATTTTATTATTCAGCTGTCTTAATTACTTGTTTCTCTCTAAGTGTTGGCTTCTTATGCCTTTCCACTGTGTAACCTTCTCCCTGAATTCACAAGGGACAGCATCCTGGGTAAGAGGCACAGCGAAATGCCACTTACAGTGCAGGTATTAGGTATCAGGAATAAAACACAAGGCAAGATTGTTTTTAAGAGCAGTAAAATCCGTTCCAAAATCTTGTGACATCAATTATCAGAAATAGAGATAAAACGTATTTCCTATTTTCAGCAGCAAAATTCCCATTGATTTCAACACTGCAGGATATGTCCCTGTGCACTGAAACAAATCATCTGTATATGAATGCAGTCAGGAAGAAGTGGCCTCCAGCAAAGAAATTTTTTATCTTTTGGTTCTGAGGAGTACCAGTAAAAAGGTCTGTCCCTTCAGTCTGTATCTGTGAAGTCACCCACAAAGAGATGTAACGTTCTGGATCACACTCTTTTGTTTCCCCTTTCTTTGACATCTTACCATGCTTCCCATTTTGTTTATACATTTCTCTTTTATGCTTGACATGCAAAAGTTAGTGACTTCATATGAGGCCATAATGCAATGGCTTGTGCTTTCTGAAGGTAGACAGTGTTAGCAGAGGAATAAAATCCAATAGTCTCCTGGAGGAAAGAAAAAGAAGGCAGTATGAATCATCTACAGACTCTATGTGAAAACTCCATTTTGGCTAGCAGATCAGGGAGCAGATTGGGGATATTTAAGTGCAAGTCTACAAATTCAGCTGGAGAGTGTGATTATTGTGCTGGCAGTGCATTAAGACACACTCCTTTTGCAACTCTCATTCACAAGAGAAAAAGAACAAGGAAGAATGACTTGTGAGCTGCGCTGCCTCAACCTGCAGGGCAGAGGAGCTGCAGCTGTCCCCTTGTTACACACTGTACACCCTAAAACCCTTTCTACTGACTTCAGAGGCAGCACTTCCCACGAGGTATCTCCACATCAGGCCAGAAGACGCTCCTGGCTGTGCAGAGACTGTTCTCCAAAATCCCTCCATGCTCCCACAGTTGTACACAGGTCTATGTGACAGGGAAGGATCCCTCATACGGAGGGATGACTGTATGTCTGAAATATTTTGCTATTGTCTTCATTACATCAATATCAAATCTTAAATTGCCTTTAGCAGGAGCAGGGTAGGAACCTTGCATGGCATCACATGAGTTGCTGAATCGAAAATGCACATTACCTGGAAACTGCCTTCAAAACTTGTTTTAAAGAGAGACTTTGGAAGAATTTGACATCATTTTCATCCTTGAAGATGGATTAAAAAAGACAACTGCAAATAATTTAGAAAGCTGCTTATGTTTTTTTACAGGCATTTACATTATTTTCTGCTTTTCAACACCCAAATTCTGATTTTTACCACTGGTCTTACTGCTCTGCAAGCAAGCACTGTTTCTCTGGTGCTAACTCCTCACATTCCTGAGGTAAAGGCAAGACCTGTTCTTACTTGTTGAAAATTAGCACAGAGCAAATTTAATGATCAGAAAAGTACATATTACACAGGAATTGTAAAGAGTTCTGTGCTTAGGATTTTGAAGGGGATCATTTCTATAGTTCACTTATGTGAAATGTTTTTTGAAATATTCACATGTATATTTGAATCCACTCTTGGGATCTGGATGTCCAGCAGATGGATTACAAAATCTGACTTGCAACTCTTTTATTATCAGTTTTTATTTACCACTGCCAAATCCATGTCCTCCGACATCTCTGATATAATCCCATCATCACTTCAGGGAATATGAAGTGATAGCCAGCAGGGTAGAGGTGTTCAAACACTGCAGAAGAGGAAGTCAAACGTCCTAGGCCAGAGAAGAACGTAAGGACACATGAATTAGAAGGAGTGAGCAAAATCTCCACTTCAGTCACTGCAGTGGGTCTGTGTGTGCGTGGGCACATTGTTCCCCTTCATTCACAATCAGTTCACAGACTGAAGCCACCCTTATCTCCTTTCTGCTCCTGGAGAGGGACATGCAGCTACATATGACCTCTGTCAATGAACATCAAACATGCTGTGAGGTGCAGAAAGACATCTGTAGGAAAAAGAAAAAAAAAAAGAAAAAAGGAAAGAAAAAAGCATCATAAAAATACTCTCTCAGGACAGAACAGGTCAGAAGAGCAGTCAGAGGATGCAGATCCAGCCATTTGCTGGCAGTTCTTGCCCAGTGCAGTATTTATCACCTGAAGGCCCTTTGGAAGCTGAAGTGACCCCTGTGTGGCAGTCCATGGAGCATGACCCAGTGCTGTGCTGCCACCACACCAGCACCAGCCAGAACTGTTTTGTATGTATCATAAAGCAGAAGAGCAAACCAGGCAGGTATTGCTTTATTCCTTAAAGGGAGAAGACTAGGAGACATTAGAAAAGACCACCAGTATGGTTCTGTCCTTAGCATAAATGGAGGGGCTTACCAGGCCATTGCTTTCCATACACACATTTAGAAGTTCAGCACATATTGCCAGCTGTGTGACCTATTTATATTCCATTGTATTTTTCACAAGTGCAAATGTGCAAAAGACAAACTTCTGCCCATCCAAACAAAGGCAGTTAGACAGAGCTGTCCTGTGATACCACAGGGTACTCCTCAGAAAAACCTAGTAGGAGGTTCAGAGGCTGTAAGGAGGAGGAGACCCATGCTCACAGCATGCTTGCATTCCTCTCCTGGGATCATATCAGAACACTGCAAACTGTGTCTATGATAAGACAGCTTTCCATGCATGGAAAAAACAATGCCGAGAAATCTTTTAAGATAACAATCTCACTAACTGCAGTCAAGAGCTTAACAAAGACGGGTTTCACAAATCAAGTGAAGACTTCTGGAAAATATTCAAAAGAGTATGTTGGGGAGCAAAATACTGCACTAACAATAAATTGGGTTTCTATGTCCAAATTTTTTATTGCATTTTTGGCTATTTCCATCTCTAACAGCCAAGAAAGATGAAGGGACTCTGCATAGAAAGTTATAATAGTTGTTTTACAGAATGTATCTGAAACTCCCATTTCTCACACTTACATCCTTACCATTGAGATTCACAGTTCCAAATCCTTCCATTAAATTACTGACTCAAATAATGCCATTGCAGTGAGTACAAGCACTGCAACAAAATCTATGCAAGTTTAGATGCAATTTAAAAAGTACATTTATTAGTATATATCAAATGCTTTTTAACTTATCTAGTCATCTTAAATATACAGCATTAGTCAACTATCTATAGTTAAAAAGCAACACTACCCAAGATACAAATGGTAGTACCCAGATTATGACAGGCACTGAAATTTGTGATCCGGGTTTCCAGGTTCTTGCAGGTGGAGGTCAATATGGTCAGCCAGACATGGCAATGTGGAATATGTCCCTGCCCATGGCAAGGGAGTTGGTACTAACTACATGGTCTTTCAGGTCCCTTCCAACTCAGACCATTCTATGGTTCTATGATTCAATCAGTAAACTTCCCTTTTCTTAGATGACCCTTTACATCTGTCTACTCCTTTAGGATCTACTGCTTTTAAGGACCAATTTTATTCTACTTTAGGGAGAAACTATTTTTTTCCCTAATGGGAATAATCTGTAGCAATTATTAGTCACTTTTTAAGAGATGCCCATTCAAAGGCATTTTCCAGAGACTCACATTAATCACATGAAAAAATATGTTTTCTAGGAAGCTCTGACATATTGCAAATGCACTGAATGCTTGACATTTTTATGATTATGCTAATATTGTGACATTTGATGTGCTTGTTTTTGAATAAACATAGTGCAATTAAGTTCTCTGAAAGAAAACCAAAAAGAAACAGATCAATCACTGAGAAGGCAGGAAGAATGAAAACTGCTTCTACCAGCTTTGGAAACAAATGCCTGCTAGTCAATGGCAAACACATCTGAACTAGATATTTCATGAGATTTGTCAGTTTTACTCTGAAAGTAAAGAGCACTGATAGGGTGACTTTCATGTTTTAGTACAAGCAGTGGCTTCACTTTCACCTGTTCCCTCTACCTTTGAAGTATATTAGCATTCGTCATAAAATGACTCCTTCCATCACTGAAAGAATTACAACTCCTAGACAACTATTACTTCCCCTTAGACTATTTCAAACTATGGATAACCCAGTTAGGTCATGGAACCTCATTTTTAAGTTCATCCCCTTTTAAAACATGTTGAGTGCTTCAATTATATCTCAAATCAAAGTAGGAGAGAGATAAGGTTTATAAATGCCAATATAAATCATTTCATAATTTCTCTCCCTCATCTACAGACCAGAAGATTAACAGGAAGAACCAGAGAACTGAAAGAGTCACTACTGGAACAGCATGGTGTTTGATGGCTGAAAGGTGGCATGGATCAGAGCTGTGGAGCCAAGCAGAAACACAGAAGAGCAGTAGACACTGGAGGAGAACCGAAGGGGGAACCAACTGTGTATTTTTGGTACAAAGCTAGAAAAGGCATAAGAAATAGCTACAGCTTGATTACAGCAATGTTAGGAAACAAGATCCATCTCCTCTGCCAGATCCTTGGAAGCCGTAGCACTCTGAAAATGCTGAAGTAACTTAGTAGCAACTTTGGAGGCAATTAAAAGAACATTCATAACCTTAGGGACTATATAAATTGAATCTCTTGGTAAAGACAAACACTGCTCAGATTGAGTTTAATAAATCTACCTTGATGGATACTCACTATTGATGAAATCAAGAATCAGCTTAATTCCAAGAAATCCAGTTCCTTACATAATACATAATCAAGGCAAAAGCAACAAACTCGGGAAACTGCAGAAAGTTACTAAAAAAGGGGGATGTTGATCAAAAATATTGAACTCATGGTCAATCATTGGCAAATCCCAAGTCAGACTCTGAAAATAGAGTTATAAAGAGGCACAAGCTGGAAAACTGTAGGAGAAGTTTTAGCTCTTTTCCCTGAGACATTGCAAAGTAACAGATTTAAGTTAAAGAACTGGTCTGAAATTAAAGGGAAGAAACAAAAAGGATATTCAAAATCAAAAGGAATGAACTGGCAAAACACAAAGCCTAATAAAATAATCCTTTCAGCACAGTCAGAGACTCCTACAGCTTTTCTGTTCCTAATAAGATGTGTACACCTAAACTTTATTAATGTTCTCCAGTATTTGTCTTTTTTCAGATACATGCACTCTAGGATTAATAATGTAGAGCCACTTGACCTACAGAAAGATCTCCTCATATAATTGGCATGGCAACAGATGCAACATATCTTTAATAGAAGTGACAATTAGTGGTACTGCTTCTGCCACCCCTCCCAGTATGACATTAACCTTTCCTGAGTTACTTTCCTACAGCATAAAAGTAAATCCAAAGCTTCCCAGATCAAACATCCTTCTCTCAAGATGTTTTAACTTGGAGACACCTCAATGGCCCATATATTTCATTCCTTGGTCTTAGTCTCTAACAGATACTTTCTCCTTTTACTGGCTGCAAAGTCTTTGAGAAAGTTGACTCATTAGCCAGTGGTGGTCAGAAGGAAAACAAAATCTGGAGGGTCAAAGTGTTTCTTTCTACAGAACTAAATGCTTTAAGCAGGTCTACATCAACATGTAAGCCCAACTACCAATGCCCTGCTTACCTGCAGGTATGCACTTAGAAATATATCCCAAAACCTTAAACTTTTAGTTTTTTAAGGCAATTAGATTTTCAGACCAGTGGCTCAGCTTCGTGACCTGTAAAGACTAAGACTGAACCAGACCAAACATACTACAGCCTATTTAATCCAGCTGGGAACACTGAATATTTTGGGTGGGTTTTATTTTACCATATTTTAATTCCCCAGAGAGTATATGTCTATATCAGAGCTAGTTAATTTAGGCACTTTTTTTTTAAGCTAAAGAAGAAAAACAAGCATTTAAAAATGATTCATCTGACCTATTTTTGCTGATCTACACTACAATGAGATTGATCACACCTTAAATTTTAAGTCAAATGACTCAGCCTCTTTCTGACCTGAAAAATAGAGCATAATTATTAGCTCAGAAATTTTGAACATACAATGCAACCTTCTGCTGACAACAGAGACAAAACACTGCAGGTTACTAGACTCAGTAGGTCCAAATTCTTCTTCCCCTAGTACTGCACTTACAGCCTACACTGAAGCTACTTCACTTTGTTTTTCAATACAAAAGAGAACCTTTGGCTTTCTCCATCTTAGCTTCCTTATATGACTTCTGTAATGCAGAAAAGTAAAAATATTTTGCTTAAGTATTTTCTTCAATCCTTGTGAATCCAAATCAGAAGTGGAAGTGTGTCTAAGGCATTCACTGTTGAATATCTGGACGTTCTAGGTTCTAATAGATACAGAAAAATCCAAACCTGAATCTTGGTTTGAATTCATTTTCCTAGCCAAGCTCTACTAGTAGAAATAAGCAGGATCTAATGTAATGGAATATCAGACTTTAGACCCAGCCTGAACTGATGTAGGTTTTATAACCATGTAGGGTTTTTTTTACACACTAAGGTTTTTTAAAACCCATACTCATTATAATCAAATCTCATTACAATGTCCACAGCTTTAAATTAAGTTTTACTCAGAATTAAAACAGCTTCCTCCAAATTATATTATTTTAAAGTAAAAGTTTAACTAAATAAGGAAAGCATTAAAAAAATTCAAAAATCAAGCTCACAGATATATATAGAGAGGTATATATAGATAGATATAAATACATAAACACATTTTTCTTTATCAAAGGGCATTATGAGAACTAAGCAATGAAGTAGCCATAATTGTTACAGTAAAGTCAAAGAACTAAAATTTAAAAGAAGATCAATACTTTCTAAATTCTCCAAGTTTTTGTCTACCTCTATTTTTGTATTTCCAGATGTGAAAATCTAGTTCCCTCATTTTAAAGTGCTGAATACACAGCCATGAAAACTAATGACAGCTGGGGTTACCCAGCATCTCTGAATATCAGATCCAGAGCACCACACCTTCTTCCAAATTTAGAAACTTCTTTTGACAATATTTGCTAAAGTAGTTTCCTGTTTTATTATACAACTCCTTAAACTACACAAGTCAGTCC